AAGCAAAATCTTAGCATTCATTATGAACTCATTCCTTTATCAGCAGTGTTCTGGATTAATTTTTAGAACACTTAGAAAATAATTTTTTTTTTTTAATTTTAGAGACGTGTTCGGGCTTTTACAAATTGGCTTCACATCTTCATTTTTATAGTTTTGTATATTCTTACATATTGATGACATAGCAACATTTTCATCACCCTGAAAAGTTTCTCATGCCACTTTGTATTCTGTGTCCTCCATCCCTATCCTCTACCAACTACCAATCTATTATTATTATTATTATTGTTATTATTACAGGTTTGCCATTGTTAGCCTTATTATATAGAAGGACTCATTCAGTATGTAGACTTTTACACACGAATGGCCTTTCCTGGCTTCTGCAACATGGATTTGATATTCATTTAGGTTGTTTTATGGATTAATTGTTCTTTTTAATTGCTGGGGATTATTCCACTGGATCAATATTTCTCTATGGATTCTCTATTGATGAATATTTGTTTCTAGTCTTTATTATTAATAATAAAGTAGATAGTCATATCCCACGGGGAGGGTAAGTTTACTTTTTAAAGAAACTGGTAATCCATTTTTCAAAGTAATTTTTCATTCCCAGCAGTGATCAAGAGAGTTTGAATTACTTTCCATTCTTTCTTATACTTTATATTACCAGTTTTAAAAATTTTTTTCTTGTATAAGTGATATAGTAATATATCCCATATTGGTTTTAACTGTTATTTCTCAATATGTTGAATATTTCATGTGCTTAGTTACCATCTCCATATCTTTCTTGGTGAAGTATGTTTTTAAATATTATGAAAATTTTAAGGGTTGAATGTATCATTATTATTTGAGTTATATGAAGTTTTTGTCATTTCTCCTCTATAACATATATATATATTTTGTAATTTTCCCTTACAATATAGGAATGAAAATTTGCCTTTTCATTTTCTCATTTCTGTGTTAAAGAATAAAAGTATAAAGTTTGATTTCTCTTAAATCTGTTCTATGAGGTGGGATAAAAAATATGGTGAATGTTTTTAAAAACTTATTAAAGTAAAAGACACATTTCCATTAATGCTCCTCAGAATAACTCCCTTCTGTCTGAGAACACTTACCCCATCTCCCTTCTTTCTTGTCACTCTCTCAAGCTGTTCTGGAAGTCTTCTTTCATGAGTCTCTTTAGTCGTGCTATCATGGTTTCCTCAGTATCCTGAATCAAAATCTTTACTTTTCCTGGTCATTTTGACTTTGGGAAGGAGCTGGAAGCCTCACGGTGCCAGATCTGGTGAATAAGGTGGATGAGGACACACTGTGATGTTTTTACGAGCCTGCATATCTGTTGGATGGCATGTGGGAGCAGCATTCATTGTATTTGTGATCACGCCTTGTAAAGACATGTAAGAGGACTTCCAGAATTGCTTCTGAAAGTGCCAAGAAAGATGGGACAAGTGTGTTTGAAGAAAGGGAGAACATTCTGAGGGGGATTAATGGGAATGTGTCTTTTACTGTAATATTGAAAAAATTTAAACCTTCATTGTATGTTTTGATTACTTCTCATATATATATTTTCATATGTTCTCTTCTGTTTCAGAAATAAGTAGTAGAAATTTTTGTGCTTTATTTTGTTCTAGATACTGTATAATTTTGGCTACTCTAGTTTTAGATCTATGATTTTTTGTGTGTGTGTTGTTTTTTTGAGACCAAGGTCCACTCTTGTGTTGAGGTTGGCTTTGAACTAACTAGCCCAGGCTGACCTCAAACTCGGGGCAGCTTCCTCAGTGCTGAGGTTATAGGCATGTGTCACCATACCTCTCCTATGGAAGATTTTTAGTTAATGTTTGCATACTATTATTCTTTTGGCATCTTTTGATACAAAGACTGTCTTATCATTTAATTATATTATACCACTGATGAAAATCAGTTGGCCAAACAAGTGTGTTTTTCAAGACTTGCCAGTTTGTGCATGTTAAGGGATTTATTTGTGCCACATTCCCTGTTTCCTTCTTTATACTTGTCTTTGTTATTTTTCTTGAACACTTGGACTAGAGGTAGCAGTTATTTGCCATTTTCAAAAATATCAATTGATTTTTGAAAATAAAATATTTTTTATATTTTCAAGGTTTAGTTTTGATTTTTTTCTTCTTGCTTACTATTTTTTTTCTAGTTACATTTTAAATTCTCATTCTATCTTCCTTGGTTTTAATTTGCTCTTCTTTTCCTCCATTTAAAAAAAAATCTTGAAAGTGTACACATTTATGGGGAAGTGTGATGCTTGCATACATTGTGCATTTCCTGGAACATTTATCATACTCTCATAGTGAAAAGTTTAAAATACAATCTATTTGAAATGTACAGCGCATTATTGTTATCTGGAGTTACCCTATGGTGCAGTGCCACACCAGAGCCTGCTGCTATCTAACAGTAATTTAATACCCATCTCAAGCTTTCTTTATGCCTCACTACATCCTATGATTCCAGCTTTGGTAGACACCATTCCTCTTTCAGTGTTAATGAGATCAACTTTTTTGGTTTGCACATATGAGTGAGGTCCTAGGAGTACTTATCTTCCTGTGCTTGGTTTATGTCACTTAACAAGCTGCTTCCAGTTCCATCTGTGCTGTTGCTAATGACAGGACTTCATTTTTTTAAAGGTCTCAGTATAAGTCCATTGTACAGATATGTCACTTTTTAAATTCATTCATCAGGTGATGGATACTTTGTTTCCATTTCTGAGCTGCTATGACTAGTGCTGCAATAAGCATGAAAGTGCAGGTATCTCCCCCATACTCATTTTGTTCCCTTTAGATATATACCCAGTCAAGGGATTGCTAGATCATATGCTAGATCTATTTTTAATTTTTTAAAGGAGGAGAGGTTTAATTTGATTCACATTTAAAAAATTTTTAAATTAACCTCCATACTTTTTTCTATAATGGACGTACTAATTTAGATTCCTACCAACAGGGTACAAGAATTTCTTTTCTGTATATCCTCACCACTACTTGAGTTATGTAGTCTTTTTTTGTGTGTGTGTAATCTTTTTAATAATAACCATTCTTCAGTAGGGTGATGCTATTTCTCATTGTTTCAATTTTCATTTCTCTGCTGATTAGTGATATTGAACTTTTTAAAATGGTTGTTGTCCATCTGTTTATCTTTTGGGAAATACCTTTAGTTTTAACACTTATATTTTTAAGTTGTGTGTTTTTTCTGTTGAACTTTTTGAGTTCCTTATATATTGTGTGTATCAGCTCTGTGGTTTGTAGTGTTTTTCCTTGCATATTGTTGGTTGTCTCCTTGTTCTGTGGATTGTTTCCTTTGCTTTGCTGTACAGAAGCCTTTTGATTTGATGTCATCCTATTTGTGTATTTTTGCTTTTGATATCTCATCCACAAAATCCTTGCTCAAAATTCTAGTTTTTTCCCCTATGTTTTCTTTTAGTTTCATGTCTTACATTTTTAAGTCTTTATTTTCCTACTTTCTTTAGAGGGATAAATTGAATTGTTAATCTTTGTTCGAAGAGCACATTGTATTAATTCTCATAGCTTTGTAATAATTCTTGTTGTGTTGAATGCAATTCCATACATATCATTTTTCATTTCTCATACTCTTTAGATTTAGTTCTCATCTGATAATTTTTTTTTTTGGTACTGGGGATCGAACTCGGTACCTTCTGCTTGCGAGGCAGGCGGTGGAACCACTGAGCTAAACCCCTGGCCCATCATCTGATAAATTTTTTGATGAGGCTTTAAAATCTCCTTAGAGAAACTTTCAGGCTGTGGTATTTTATTTAGCTTTTAAAGAAAACTTTTGCTGTTGTTTATTTTAAGACAGGGTCTAGCCGAGGCTGGACTCTTAACTTTAGATCCTTCTACCTCAGCTTCTTGAATACTTGGACCATTTTATTCTGTATTGAATAACTGTATTAAAACATTTCTTTACATTTAATCCAAGATGTTAAAAGCTTTTTATTTTTAATGCCATTGTGTATATTAAAATTTCACTTTCTAATTTTATTTTTTATTAGAAATACAGATAATATTTGTATATTAATCTAGAATCTGGTGACCTTGATTAATCGACTATAGAGTTTGTTTACTGAGTGTGTTGTATTATTGGGCTTTGTATAATTGGATTTTCAGCAAATAATGGTGGTTTTATTTTTTCCTTGTAGTAATTACTTTTCTTGACTTATGTAACAGAATGTGCCCTACTATGTTCGGTCATGATGTTTAAAGTGAGTCTTTCTTTAGGGTAAAATCTTTCAGTATTGTATAATTATATATATTTTTGCTAATTTGGTTAGTTTTAATATTACTCTTTACCAAATTAAGGAATTTTTTTTGTCCTGAGTGGGTTTTAAAATTTATTAAATACTTTTATGAATCTGTTGAGATAATCACACAGGCAATTTTTTTCTGCATAGTATATTTTCTGAATGACATATATGTATTTTTCTATTCCCTTAATTTTGGTTTCCTACATTAAATTGAATGGGATGTATTACGTCCTATTTTTGGTAAAGTCTGAATCAGCTTGCTAATATCATGTTAATAAGGGATTTTATTTATTTTTTATTTTTTTATTTTTTATTTGGTACCGGGGATCGAACTCGGGTCCTTGTGCTTGCACGGCAGGTGGTGAAACAACTGAGCTAAATCCCTGGCCCAATAAGGGATTTTAGTATTGCACTAAAAACCATGGTTTATTAGATATA